GTGCTGGTATAAAAGCTGGAGAACTTTTTTTCTTTTTTTTTTTTTTTTTTTTGAAAGCTTAGAAATCCTACCACAACATGTCATCAGTGGAGACAATCTTAACACAAGATATGCAGATGATAGCAAACAGAGAAAGGAAACTACAGAACTCCCACAGAAGTCAGTAAAGGAAAGTAAGAAGAAAGGACTAAGCATCAGTTCTAAGAAAGAATATATCGTTGTCAGCAAATTAACCAGAAACAGTTATGTAAACATACACAAAATACAATCCTTGAAATCTAGTGTATCAACATTCGAAGTACTCTTAAATAAAATGAAAATAAATATGAACACTATTTACATAATTCGGACTATTGTCCTCATCTTTGTTGCCATATTTATCACAACGTTTCGACCGTTGTACGCTCCGGCCTTCTTCAGGTGGTTGGAATGTCGAACTGAACCCTTTATTTCACTTGCTGGGGTAGACTGTTCTAGTTCCACATGCCATGTCTCATGGATATCAGTTATCGGTTATCTCCTGTTAATTCTCCTCACCAAGTTCTCCACTGCCTTAACCGGGTATTGAACTCACAACTCTTTGGGTCCTGTCACTGGATCTAACCAACACCTTTATCCACTGTGCCATGTCTCCTTAAGGACACATGGCACAGTGGATAAAGGTAGTGGAGAACTTGGAGAGGGGAATTAACAGGAGATAACTGGTAACTGGCATCCATTAGACATGGAACAAGAACAGTCTACTCTAGCGAATGAAATAAAGGGTTCAGTTCGACATTCCAATCACCTGATGAAGATTAGAGTGTACAACAGCCGAAACGTGATAAATATGGCAAGAAAGAGGAGGACAATAGTCCAAATAATGTACATAGTGTTCATAATACCTCATCTCAGAAATATAGACAGATAATAAATATGAACTTTGGTAAATTTACCAATTACATAAAATAACTAATTCGGAAATTTGAGAAATTAGATAATTGGAAACTGTCGATATTATTCAACCAAACATGATTAAAAAAATCTGTTATTTTATACATGTTGATAATCAAAATCACTCAATCTTTACCAACATTGTTATTCCTATTTATTTTTTTTATCTTCATCTTTGAAAAGACCCATAAATGTCACCAAGACTTCAATAAGGCAGAGATGCAAGATGTGCAAAAGAAAAAATCTCAGTGATTTGCATCCTGATATTTCTGGTGAGGTCTACTCAGTTAAAGTTATTCTTCAAAACTTGACAAATATTCTTCCACCATCTAAGTTTCCTCAACAAAATGGCAGAAAATAACATGCAAAATAGAATTCACATGAAAGTGAATTTTTCTTTCGGCAACGTGTCTCTTCAGTTTTGACCTTTTTGGTTTCTAAATGTCCAGTGTGCTAGGGTCATCTCATTGGTCAGCTGTATTTCAAGTGTATTGTCTAGTATCCATTAATAAAACACAGTGCTTGTACTCTGTTGTCTTATTGACTACAACCCAAACACTATTTGTACATCGTAATTTATTCATAGGAATGTTTATCTACTTTGCTCTGTCGATGTGCAGTTATTTCTGAAATTTTTTTTATTTGCTATTGAACATATGTGATGCATCGGAGAGCATTTTGTCAGAAAACTTCCAAGGTAAAAATTCATGCTTTGACACTGATTCAAACAATAGAGCCAAATAGACATATGTCATTTCACATTTCTAATTAAAAAATAGGGGTTTAGTTCTAAAAACCTTGGCTTTCAGTAAAGAGTCAAAATTTCTGATGTCCTGGATATGACGATAAACTACATTTGTGTCCTGGGTAAGACAATAAACTACATCCAACAGCAAGGCCGCTGATCAGGAGGTTTTGAGGAGTGTGGAACCACCTCTTAATTGCTTGTGTTCCCATGTCCACCCTGACACAGGGTGGTAGCACCTGTTAGGGTCCCAGCTATGGGCAAATAGTTAACCTCCGAGCTGGGGTCAAAATACTATAAAATTGTAAGAATAGGTTTTAATACCAGTAATACATTTTTGTAAAAATTATTACTAGTAATAAATTTTTGAAGGAAAAAAAATATTACCAGCAATATAATTTTGAAGAAAAATATTACTATCAGTATATTTTTGAAGAAAAAATATTGCCAGCAATAGATTTTTGGAAAAAATATATTAGCAACAATACATTTTTGAAAAAATTATTACTAGCAATACATTATTATCAGCAATACATTTTTGAAGAAAATAAATATTACCAGCAAGACATTTTTGGAAAAAAAAAACATTAGCAGCAAGATATTTTTGGAAAAAAAAAACATTAGCAACAATACATTTTTGGAAAAAAATTATTACTAGCAATACATTTTTATCAGCAATACATTTTTGAAGAAAATAAATATTACCAGCAAGACATTTTTGGAAAAAAAAAACATTAGCAGCAAAACATTTTTGGAAAAAAAAAACATTAGCAGCAAGACATTTTTGGAAAAAAAAACATTAGCAACAATACATTTTTGGAAAAATTATTACCAGCAATAAAAGTCTTGTTGGCCTTAAATAACCAATTGAGGTTGATATGCTGTAAAACAAGTCAAATCAAATAGACCAAACCAAAATTACTGAAAAGAGCTTCAATTTTGCATTGGGGGGTTTCAGTGCCAGAGAAGACATTCTGTTCAATAGAAGTTATATCAAAAACTGATATTCAATGCCCAGTATATGGTCCACAAATTGGGCAATGATCAATTTGTCATATGAAAGGAACTGAGTCTGTTTTAAATTTCTTCCTGGGAACAATTTTCTTCTATACTAATGGCTTCTTCTCTTAGACCTTTTGCTTATAGAACACACTTCCAGTACACTATGCTTTGCCTTCAACTGCCATCTTCAATAATTTAAATGCTGTGTCAGTTCTCATATTCTGTCTCTTTGAATCCTGGTTTTTTAATGTCCTCCCTCTTCAATATTTTCTCAGCTTTTTTAACTCTCAGTAACCCTTTGTATCTTAGTGACTTTATGTCCTTTCTTGAGAGTGAAATGATATTTTAAAAAGAAAAATTTGTTTTAATCTTTGGGAACTTACACTAAAATTATGAAAAAAAATATTGTCTCCGTGGCTTTTGCCGTTAACGCTATTCAAAGTTAGGGCGTGGAGACAATAAAACAGGAAAAAAAAAAGTTGTGTTGACTGTATTTTGTGTTTTAAGGCCCAACATTTCTACTTAATATAGTTTAAAAAGTGTGTCAAGTTAAATCTATCACTTATAACTTTCATTTAACAAGATTCCAATGATGTTCCTCATCAAAAGAGAAAGCAATTCTCCAGAACTGATCATCTAAAAGTAAATGATAAAACATGTATAAATTTTGATTAATGTCACATCATCATAACTTGACAAATATTTGGAGTTGGGACAAAGTTAGACCAGTTCTGGAATCCTGAGATTACTTTAAGACAATATATGACACACATTACTTTGAAAATGTTCCAAAAATGCCAGAATGCTCACTTAGAATCTCACGATTCTATAGAATTAATGTTTTATACTTCTCATGCATTGTAAGGAAAGCAGCAGCTAGAAAGGTAGTAAATACGCTGAAGTAACTCATCTATGACTGCTAAGAATTCAAATCTGGTTATAGTGACAGCATAAAACGATTCCAGTGATGATGAGTTGGTTCGCTCAATGAAATAAAGTCTAATAAAATAGGCTATGGGTGGCAGGCTAACTAAACAAGCTTACCTGTACCATTAAGGTTAGCCAAAGATACCATGAGAATGTAGGCTTACTAAGTAGGTTACGGTCACTGAAAATGCATGAATTTTAACTCCTCCAGGAAAAAAAACATATGTTGTAATGGAATGTCCCACTCTCCCTATTGCCTATTGTGAACTGACTATATCAGTAAATATATATAATGTGCACAGGACATAGCTGGCAGACTTGCTTCAGGAATTACTAGCCTGCTAACCAATTCCCTGTCTTTCAGTAGTGTATTCTCTTTTACAATAAACCTCTCTTTCTTTCATCTACGCCTGTGTTGCTGTTCCTTTCACTCAAGTATCACCTTTGTCTGTTTGTAAACTTCTTTAAGGATACAACAAATTACTTGTGTATAGTTGTCATATAGGACATAAATGTATGGAATCATCCGTTTATGTAAATAAGCAGAATTAAGAGTAGTTGAAGAGTATTAGCATTTAGTTAGTTGCTAATTGTACCTTTAAGTAGTAAACCTTCTATTTCATTACTTACCTACGAGTTTGTCTTCATTATTTATTTTCCTCTGTTATCAACAGTGCGACCATTCACTGAAAATACATGATTTTTAACCTGTGTATAGTGCAACTTCCTATGTTTTGTGTAAAAAAAAAAACATTTTCATAAAAACTCACATGATACCTAAATATATACAATACCTTCTTGCCCAAGTGTGACCTGTAAGGGTGTGAGTATTCAAATTTGTTCTGCATTTCATTCAGCAGAATTTTTTGTTTGTGACTAGTCATCATGTGGAACATGTTGGTCAGGTGTTCAGTCATGGAATTGATGATGATGATGATGAGTTATCATTTAGATGAAGGAATGATTGATTTTTTTTGGTCTTGGATATTTATTGACATCTTTTTCTCCTTGAGTTAAAATACAGTCAGTAAATCTCTATCGATGAAGATTGATTTCGATTAACACACATAGATAGATTGAATCTTGAAATCCTCTCTCTTTGAAAAAAAAAAAAAAAGATTTTCATCTTACTGATCCCTCTTGGGAAGTTCTGAGCTCTGGCAGCACTCAAGAATTGTTCTTGGGTAACAATACACAGATAAAGTAGAAGGCAGGGCTGATGTTGCAGCATTAAAGAAATTGTTTGATGGAATCTTTATTAAAAATGTCTTTGTTTCTTTTCTTTCTTTTTCTTTTTTTTTTTTCTTCTGCAGCCAATGTTTGCCACACTTGTTCTCATTGAAATCATCTGGATATTATTAGAGGAAAGATATTGATCTCTGGTTCAAAGCTTACAGCTATATCATGTTGAAAATCTGGTGCTCATCTGATCACAGAAGTTAAGCAACATTGAGCCTCATCAATACTTAGATGGATGACCACTTGGGAATATCAGGTGAT